AACTAACTAACCCTAACTAACTAACCCTAACTAACTAACCCTAACCCTAACTAACCCTAACTAACCCTAACTAACCCTAACTAACCCTAACTAACCCTAACTAACCCTAACTAACTAACTAACCCTAACTAACCCTAACTAACCCTAACCCTAACTAACCCTAACTAACCCTAACTAACTAACTAACCCTAACTAACATTCACTGCCATGGTAGGAGCGCCCATGATCCAGATAGACTTTGCATAAGCAGTTCCGTGATAACGGAATACGATCGCGAAGATAATCCCTCCGAAGTTGCCGCTGGCGCCGACGAGTCCAGAAAGAATTCCTGTCACATATGAGATTAGCAGAGAAAATAATAGGTACACAAAACGACAAAGGAGTGGAAAACGTAGTAAAAAGACATCCTACCATTAGCAAATGGGTGCACGTGTGGCACAACTGAGAAACTGGCACCATTTGCGGCCTCAAGGAAGAAAGCCAGTCCTGCCATAAGGCCAAACATGATGCTTTCACTGTGCGGATCCGACAAGCCGATGGCGAGCTCGAAGGCACCCGTAACGACGCCCAAAAAGGTTACCCAAAATCTCTTTGCCCAGACAGAGTGCGTGCTTCCGTATATGTAGTCGCCAATCAGGCCACCGGCTGGACGAAATAGGACGTTAAGCAGGCCAAACATGGCTGCCCAGTTACCAGAGCCTGTCTGGCCAAGGTAAGGAAAGTTCTTGTAGTAATAGGATCCGATATTGGAATCGAGCACCAGTTCACCACCTTGTGCACCATTTGTTAGACATCACAAGACTAGTCAGGGGGTGAGAGAAGAGGGTTACGATGCACATAGAGCTGAGGAAACCCACCAAAAGAGCACGCATATGGTGCAGCCAGTGCCAAAGACTGTGGGCTGAAAATGACAGAGAGGGCTTCCCGTATTGTCGGGTTTACAATCATTTCCCCTAAAGCGGTGGTCACAATCTCTGAGTCAGGGTCGGGTACTGCGCTTTCCAGCTTAGAAGGCTCTTTTTCCGGCACAGGGGAGTCGAGTTTTGAAGCTTCCTTTGCCTTCTCATCTGCCAACGACGGTTCCTCCTTCCGTATAGAGCCATCGGAATTGAGGGCTTTGACAACTTGTTCTGTAAGCAATGGCTCAGGCGGCGGGGATCCTGACTCGCCTTCGATGACGAGATGCCTCTCGGACCATTTGCCCGTTGGTGAGTCTTCGCACAAAAGGAGCATGCCAACAGCGACCGCCACGATCAGAATAAATGGAACGATAAACGCGACCCGCCATGCTACATGATCAGTCAGACCTCGAGAACTGACCAGAGAATTGAAGACGGCAGGCATAACGAAACTGGGAGACAAAGCAGGAGAAGGTCAGTAAGAGGTGATGTATACGGGCAGATGATTCATGATCAAGCGAGACATACTAGGCAATTCCACCTCCAGCGTTTCCCCAGCCACCGGCGAGAGCGTTGGCAGTGCCGACCACATTTCTGTCGAAGAACCCCGTACACCACACTTGGCATGGTACAAATGTAGCGCCAAGGATGCCAATAAAAAAACGGAGGGCAATGAGGCCGTTTGAGTCCTTGACCAGACCCGCCAAAGCCGTTGGGATGGCGCCGCAAAACAAAATTCCCGCGTAAACATAGCGCGGACCGAATCTATCGCAGAGGGGGCCGGCCACCATACGGACGATGAGCCTGTAGAGCCTCTAGTCAGCAAAATCTCGTGAAGATTATAACTCATTGTCAAAAGGAACGCCGTACGTCGCTAATAACGCAACCATGTTTGAGTTGGCGACGTCGGCTGGAGTCATGCTCAGGTCTTTTTTGATCGTAATTGTCATCTACATGATGTGAAAGAATCGAGTGAGTATTGCAGCCCATATACAAACAGCTAGACAGCTAGGACGACTCGTGTGGACAGTGCTCGCGTGATCGACTCACAAGTGGGGGGAAGGCAAACCAAGACAAGAACGCTGTCATGAAGCCCAACCATGAAAAAAAGAATACCCGGCCATATTTGTTCCCGAGGTTGAAAATGGGCACCGACAAAGCCTTGAGGGTCAGTGTGTTGACCTCTGGCTGTCCAAAAAAGATTATTGGTTTTGTTACTGTCATCGTGTCCTGAGTTCCGGTGAAAGGGAATAGGTAAAGGCAAAAATGAAAATTAATAATAAAAACAATGATGTAAAAGGTGATTTAGACTTGCAATAATCTTTACAGACAGAGCAATTTTGAGCCCGAGTCCACGGTGCTGCCAGTTGTAATTAATAGGAATTGGATGGTTGCGTTCACTTCATTGCAGGCAATGCTGGGCCGAAACAGGCAATGGTCAGCATAGAGCTTTTCCCGTGATCTGGCTGGGACTTGGTCTAGATTGCTGAGAACAAACTTTTGTTCTCCGCGGACATGTCATTTCAAGAGCTGAGCAAATAAAAACGGTATGCTTATCTTGAATTGAGAGATAGACGATAGATAAGGGCAGATCCAGGGGCTATGCGGGCGCTCTAATAAAATTTCCTGCGTTTTGCCAGTTAGAACAAGGCTTATTGCCTTTATCAGTGACGACATACCTAATCGGCGTCAGATATACCAGTCCCTCCTCTTACCCCCGCGTGTAGGCTTCCAGGTAACAGTGTCTGTGTAATTTTGACCCTAAACACCACGAAGGTCGCGAGTAACAGTGGCAGTCCAGAACTCGCAGAAATAAAATAAGACGTCGTGTCACGTGAATGGTAATGTGATACCCTGAAGTCGAGTGATAAAGGGCACAACAGTGAGAAAATGGAAAACCACAGAATAGGTGGAAAAGAAGCAAAATAATACTATGGCGCGCATATGTTGTATTCGTCAGACAAGGGTTGAGTGATCAAGTTCCATAGCACTGTTCGACTTCGACTTAGAGGAACTTGCTATAAAGATTGGATATACTTCCAGTTGTTGCATTCACTAACCTGTGTGGCCATACTCGAGGAATTGCATTGTCGCCGAATTCTCCATTTATGACACCTCTCGCCTGTATCCCCTACTTATACTGTTGACGGCGTATTTCAATAGTGGCCGAGAATGCGCTTCCGCGGTCCATCTATGAATGTGGAGGAGCTAGAAATATATATCTGATATTTCATGGGCCTCTTTTCCCTACTTCCCAACCAGTCAAAAGAAAACAACGTCTGATTCCTTCCAATCCATACGTCCGAGAATGTCCTTGATAAAATTTTCCATTGCTGGTGGACCGCAAACCAGTGCAAGCCTATTCTCGGCAGGCACAGCTTCTTTCCGGAGTAATCGCTCTGATATGCGGCCGCAGAGTCCTGTCCAGCCCGTGGGGGGGCAAGTGAGCGTGTGAATCACCTTATAGCGACTAGTGTCCGTGGTCTTGCGCTGAGAAAGGAGGTGGAGGTTGTCCAATTCCTGCCGGCATAAGATATCCTGCTCATTTCTGTTGCCGTCCAACAAAGTGAAAGGTATTGTGTCATCAGCATCGCACGCCACGGCTCGCAAGACCTGGAAGATCGGTGTGATGCCACTGCCTCCGCAAATCATAACAAAGGACGATACCGGTCGTTTCTCGCCCCCAATTGAAGCCACACCACGGCCCACGTACTCGAACTTTCCCACAGGTCCTTTGAACTCGAGAGCTGTACCCATCGGCACCTTGTTCAGCGCTGTTGTCATGCGTCCTCCAGGAGACATCAGTGTGGGGAGATAGAGCTTCACCAGGAGTTCGAGGGTACCTTTCCGTATGTTTTCTGACACGGGTGTGTACGCACGGAGGATGGTCTCCTCGTTTTCTGTATCTGTATATCGCAACATGAGGTGCTGTCCTGTAGGAAGACCCACCTCTTGGTTGTCGTGGTCAAGCTTGAAGGTGAAAACTTTTGTGTCAGACGATACTGGGGTGATTTTACTCAGGATGGCCTTGGCCCAATGGCGCGAGTCCAAAAAGATAGCGCGTGTCGGTGATGAAGATTTATCTGCGCCGCCCTGATCACGCAGCACCTGTCGGCCTCTATCATCTAGACTGCCGATGTGGTAATCTCGCAACATACGGTTTGCGTTTTCACTGTCTGTTTCGTGATTTCTTCGTTAGTTGATTGTTATGTCATGGAAGAGACTGTCACCCGTGGAAGAATTGAGAGTGACTTACGGATTGCAATGAACTCTTCTGTTGCATCTGATGCGGCAACTGCTTGGATGCTCTGAGCACCTCCAGGGTGATCTTTCAAATATCCCGTGCCGTCATAGACCTCACCAGCGACCACGAAAAGCGGCCGCGCCTGTGAACTCTGCTCGTTGAACTCGTCGATGGTGAAGATGCGCTTCACATCTGAATTTGCCATGTTCACCTCCTCCAGCGGTGGTGTCGGTGGCTGATGTATATCCTCAGAAGATATTTCGCCCCACCGGCCATTGAGTAAGTCACCCCCCGCCTTTTTGACCTTTTCCATCCAGCCGGGATTTCCAGACATCAAGGACGTTGGGTGCTCAAAGCGGAGCGTCTGGTTCCCAGTCTTCACGATGGTTACACGGAACCAGGGATTATTCATCATACCGAGCACAGACCAGTACATGTCACGGGGCTGGCACATCATGGCTTCGTCCATGCCGCGGACAATAATGCTGTCGGCGTTCTGGAGCTCGTAGATTGGAAGTGTATATGCCCAGAAGCACCAGCAAAAACATGTTTCGCGAGACGACATATCGAGGCGGCCACCGTAGAGATCAACGTCGATGTCACGATACCTGTCTTCGGGATATTGAACGTCCGCTAGTCGCCACGCTGGAGGAAGTGTATCGTTAGTCATTCGTACAATGGCGAAAGGGATGGCCTGAAACGTCGCTACTTTTGACGCTTCTATATTTGCTCACCATTACCGCCGTCGAGAGACACTTCCATGCGCGTCACACGACGGCCACCACCGCTGTACGCATACCCGCGAATTGTATAATCTGGAACACGAGACGCAAGGTCCAGAACTTCGTCGTGTTGTGGTTGTGCAATTGCAGAATTGACGTTCAAGTCGTAGATAGCATATCGTTCATCTCGCCACCACGCTGGCTCGTCGGCTGACTGCTCAGGAGTTACTGTGGTTCTGCGGACACATTAGATGCTAGTCATACCTGTGCTAGCATTGCACCGATGTTGAACAAATGAAAAACGAAAAGAGCAAATGCAAGAAAAACTCACGGAAGAACCTTGTTGTCGTAGTAATGGTACCAGTTGTCACTGGGCTCGGCCGTCACGATCAGCCGACGCAGCCACTTCACGCTACGTCCACCGATCTGGCCAGGGACAACGGCGCGTAGTGGTCGGCCGTGGTCGGCCCTCAACGGTGCGCCGTTCATTCCATGGGCGAGCATAAGGCCTCTATTTGGGTCCATCGCCCAGCTGAGCGTCACAGATGTCCCGTAGGGACCATTTGGCTGTTATAAGATTAGCATGCATTGTCTAACAACAGTGTTTCGATTGTCAAGTGGTTGGGGAGTGAGTTATTCACTTACTAGATTGTCAGCTCCTTCCATGCAAACGAATTTAGCTCGCCGCATGGGTTTTGCCCTTCGCAGAATGTTGGCCATGAGAGTTCCCGTGAACAGTGCAGTAGACAAGCCGGCCGGTCCCCAGGAGAAGCCCTTCGATTTCCTCACCGTGTTTTGCTCCTTCCGTCTGTTTCCGGCACATACAAGCGTGACAGGCAGGGTAGTCTGCTCAAATTCTTCAACTAGCTGCTTCAAGGATATTGTAAATGAGTTCTCAACAAGCCTGTACCGGTTGAGTAAGCATGTTTCTGTGCGCAACGAAAGAAACGAATACATAATAAAATAATTCAATGACGAAACCGCAACTTACCCCTCGACACTAAGCTTCCATGACCAAACTTCATTGTCCAAAATTTGAGGCACCGAGCCATGATTTCGCACGTAGAAGAGGTCAACAGAAGTGATAAAGCCTGGACATCCGAATGTATCGACTTTAGTATATTCATCTTTACCCGAGGTGAAAAAGTCAATCAAAATGTCAATAATATTTACCTTCACGATACAATGCTGTTAATGGCGCTTCGGCATTAAATGGATGCACACCGGTTAGGCGAATTAGACGGGAGTCGCGGGTGACATGGTTGTCCGGCGTACCCTTGTCTTTATCGAGGAGTTCGGTTACCGGTGACCCAGAGGGCGGTAAAGGGACACCTAAGAGGCTTTCTTCGATGGGATGAAGATAATTATGTTTGGATTGGAAAGAAATTGATTTTGTATCAATCAAGGGGCCTGTCAGGGGAGACTGAAGATGTGTTGTGGTGGACATGGTGATCGTGTGGCTCGCACCGTGGTCAGTCCGCCGTGATTGGACTGTGAAGAGGAACAAGTCTGGCGGTGGACAGGATATCAATAGCGGTGAAAAGTCTGCTCACAAAATCGGCAAAGACAGGACTCAGCTCCAACGCGGATTTGAATAGTGTATCTGGTAGAAAACAATATGTGGAAGTCGGACAATCAACATTGGCAATGGCGAACAGATATCAGGGAGCTACGTTGGAGACAATAGGGAGCAAACACGGCGTCTTTCGCTAGTAGATAACTGGCACATATACGGAGAAGAGAGGTATCAAAATCCGTCCCACATTGTCTATTTACCATGAATTTTGCATTTCCGAAGCTTGGTCCATGGCTCTCAAGCCACACATGGCATCATTGTAGATTGTAGAGTAGTAGCCAGTCGAAAACATCACTGTGAAAGGTATGCTATCGCCGGACCGTTCTTGACATGACTAAAAATGATTTCAGTAGAAGACAAGGCTAACGACTAACAGGAGATAAATGCGCCGGAGATGTAGGAGAAGTTGGATTTTCATATCTCAGTTACAGTCGAGTAAACAACGGGACGGTTTGGATGGGATTTATGGACTGCGTTACAATTGATTGGCCCAGCCCAGCCAAAGATAAGAGCCTGTCAGAGTAAGAGGAAAACCCGCCAAATGTTTAATTTTGAGTTGGGAAAAGGGGGTAAATGATTGTCTGAACGCTCATTGGCCCGGCTCAACCTGATAAGACTGCCCCAATTCGATCGTAAAGTCCAAGATAAGACTTCTTCTTCGGTCCCACGACCGTTCCAGGACGACACAGAGGTTTGGTATTACGCAGTACAAAACTCCAATCGTATTACTGTCTCCTTATCTTTGATGTTACCGTATACCGCATCTCCGAGGAGTAAAGCCTGTTATTAAATGAGCACCGGTTACTTTGGCCCGCGTCCTACGCTTTCTATCACACTGCACCGTTTACGCTGACGGACGTCGTGTGTGTCTCGGTAGTACTGGCCAGGTCTGTCTGAGTTATTTTGGCTCTATGTATGGGTCGTCTCTTTCGCTTCTTTTATTCGTATTTTAATTAAAACAATTAATGCATATTTTAATACTATTTTGTTATTCATTTTGTCTTTTATGTTTTCATTTTCATTTTTATTTTCACTTTGATATGTGTCTCACTTCGTCGTTACTTTATACCATGTCCATCCTTCTTTCATTTACGTTGCCTAACACATAGGTGTAGTATTGTTGTGAATTTGCCTCACATTTCCATTAGCGACCTCAGCATCATCGGTTATATCGGCATATCTTTGGCTCGTCTAGTTATTTGTTTGTAGCATTTTTTCACTCCACGACAATACAGCTGAACAGAAAAGAGGATGGCCGACAGCGCCCGTCATAACAACGGTGTCAACGGCGTCAATGGTGTCAACGGCATCAATGGTGTCAATGGGAATAATGGCCTTCAAAGCCCCTGCCGTCCCCGGACGCGCATCGTCGTTGTTGGATTGGGCATGGTGGCTATGTCGTTCATGTGCGTCTGCACCGTGTGACCTCCCTCAATCTCGAAGCTCAACATACTGACACTGGGACAACTGCAGGGAGAAACTAATGCAGCTAGATGCGAAGCGGAGGGAGTACAGTCTCGTTGTTATCGGCGAGGAACCGCATCTCGCATACAACCGCGTTGGCCTGTCCACCTTCTTCGAGCACCGTGTGGTAGAGAACCTGTATCTAAACCCGCGAGAATGGTACTCGTCGCTGGAGGACGATGGATTGCTGAATTACCACGTCAACACACGCGTGGCCGAGATCCGCCCTGCAGCAAAGAATGTCGTGACGTCCATGGGTGTCGTCATCGCATACGACATTTTGGTTTTAGCTACGGGTTCCGATGCCGTTCTGCCAGCTGCAACGGCCGGCCACGATAGCCATGGCGTCTTCGTATACAGGACAATTGCCGACCTTGAGAATATGATGCAATTCGCAAATGAGCACAAAGGCACCGTCGGCGTTGCTGTCGGCGGTGGTTTGCTTGGGCTCGAGGCTGCGAAGGCAATGGTAGACCTCAAGTCTTTTGCATCGGTCAAAGTTGTCGACCGTAACAACTACTTGCTTGCTCGGCAGCTGGACGCCGATGCCGGCCGGCTAGTCACCGAGGGGGTCCGTAAACTCGGACTAGACGTTTTACACAACAAACGGATCGCCACCATAAACACGGATGCCGACAAAAGCGTGACCGGAATTACGTTCGAGGACGGCGAGCAGCTAAATTGCAGCGCTGTCTGTTTCGCGGTACGTATGACAAACAAATATGTCATCACGCAGCTGGAAATACGACAAAATTAACTAGATATTGGGATTAGATTGGTGTGCAGCCACGAGACGAACTGGCGAGCTCGGCTGGGATCCGGACAGGAGAGCGCAATGGCGGTTTTATTATCGGTGAAGAGTGAGTCGTACCCGTCTTCATATCTGACGATTGAGCAACGAGACAACGGTAAGTGCAGGGGCTAACCGTGGGAACTCGGCGACTGCAGTCTTCAAACGTCCGTTCCTGATATATTTGCGATCGGCGACTGCGCATGCTGGCAGAACCAAACATTTGGCATCATTGCCCCCGGGATCGAAATGGCCGATGTACTTTCCTTCAACCTTACCGAAGGTCGCCTTGGGTCCGGCCAAACGCCACGCAAATTCGACCGCCCTGATCTCAGCACGAAGCTCAAGCTCCTTGGTATTGACGTCGCAAGCTTTGGAGACTTTTTTGCAGATAGAGACGGACCAAAATCGGTCCCGAACGGGGGGCTAGGTCCCGAACCAGCGCCCGTCAAGGCTCTCACCTACAAAGATCCTTTCGGATCCGTATACAAGAAATACCTCTTTACATCCGACGGAAAGTATTTGCTGGGTGGTATGATGATTGGTGACACGCGCGACTATGCCAAGCTCACCCAAATCGTGCGTACGCAGACAGTTCTAGAGGCGCCGCCAAGCCAGTTCATCTTAGGTGCCCAAAAAAATGGTGAAGATGACGGCTCTGATCTGTAAGCAACGATGCTGGTACTGGAGGGCAAGAAAGTGTGAAACGAGCAGCTGAAGTATTTCATAATATCTGTTATTGACATCGTTTCACCAGTACCGACGATACGCAGGTCTGCTCGTGTCACAACGTGACGAAGGGCGACGTTGTCGAAGCTGTCAAGTCAGGAAAGTGCACAGATCTGAACGGACTGAAGGCTTGCACGAAGGCGGGCACTGGCTGTGGAGGATGTATTCCACTTGTGCAGAGCATTCTCAACTGGACACTGAAAGATCTTGGACAAGATGTTTCCAACCACCGTAAGTTATTTTCTGTCTTGACGTGGCACACGACGATGCTCTGTTTATATGTCAACTCCAGTCTGATAAACAAACGTAAATAACAGTCTGCCCTCACTTTTCCCGGCCGCGTGCCGACCTCTACAACATCATCGCTGTCAAGCGCCTCACAACATTTGAAGCTGTTATGCGCGATGCAGGCACATTCCCAGAGTCACTTGGCTGCGAGATATGCAAGCCAACTATCGGATCCATTCTAGCTAGTCTGTTCAATGAGCCAGTGGTGTCACGACAACACCACGACCTCCAGGACACAAACGACCGCTTCATGGCCAACATCCAACGCAACGGAACTTTTTCGGTTGTCCCGCGCGTGCCCGGTGGCGAGATCACACCGAAGCAGCTGATCGCCATGGGCCAAGTTGCCGACAAGTACGGGCTCTACTGCAAGATCACTGGAGGCCAGCGGATTGACATGTTCGGAGCACGGAAACAGGACTTGCTTGCCATTTGGAGGGAAATGGTGGATGCAGGGCTCGAAAGTGGCCATGCATATGCAAAGGCTTTGCGGACAGTCAAGGTATCGTCTCCCGCCTTTTACACTCTGCTTCATGGCTACTAAACCACACAGAGAATATGTATGCTAATGCAACCTGGTAGAGTTGTGTGGGATCGACTTGGTGCCGCTTCGGTGTAGGCGACAGCGTTGGCATGGCTATTCGTGCTGAAGAGCGGTACAAAAGCATTCGGGCTCCTCACAAGATCAAGGGCGGTGTATCCGGTTGCGTACGTGAATGTGCAGAGGCACAGAGCAAAGAGTAGGTTTTTTTTTCGACCATATAACTTTCTGCCCAGTGGACTTTTGCAAATTAATTGACCATTTGACTTAACTAGCTTCGGTCTCATTGCAACGGAAAAGGGATACAATATATTTGTTGGCGGCAACGGCGGTGCGAAACCCCGGCACGCAGAACTTCTGGCCAAAGATGTGCCGCCAGAGGAGGTTATTCCAATCCTTGACCGCTACCTCATCTTCTACATTCGGACAGCCGACCGACTGCAGCGGACAGCTCGGTGGCTTGAAAGTCTGCCGGGAGGTATCACCTACCTGAAAGAGGTCGTTCTTGAAGACAAGCTGGGGATCTGTGCCGACATGGAGAAGCAGATGCAGGAGCTTGTCGACAGCTATTTCTGCGAGTGGACCGAGATTCTTGCGGATCCAGTCAGACAGCGCGTGTTCCGCCAATTCGACAACACGGATGAAGATGTAGAGACGGTCGAGGTCGTCGTTGAGCGAGAGCAAACCAGACCAACCTACTGGTCTCAAGAGTCGGCGTCTGAGGATTTTCGCAGTCATCACTGGTCGCAGCTTGCCTGGGAGCCGCTCCTCGAGACGAAGCACTTTGATGCAGACGGACGCTCATCGGCGCAGATCAAGCGGGGAGACACGCAGCTTGCGGTTTTCCGTGTTCGTGGCCGGTACTATGCGACGCAGCAGATGTGCCCGCACAAACGGGCATTTGTGTTGTCAGACGGCTTAGTCGGTGAGCAGGCGGCCGCAGCCAATGAAAATTGTGCCAGTAACGGCGACAGTGGCGGCGGAAGTAAGTACTGGGTATCGTGCCCATACCACAAGCGCAACTTTGACCTCAACGGGGATATGCCGGGACGGTGCTCAAGCGACGATTCACTGAGCATCGCAACTTTTGCAGCCGAAGAGCGTGATGACGGATGGGTGTACCTCAATCTCCCTCCCGTGGAAGAGCTGGATGCACTACTCGGTACTTCGAGGTGGAAAACACGGAAGGAAGAAGCTGGTGACCCGTTTCAGAGGCTGGATCAGAAGTTGGGGAAGTCCCAAAAGGGTCGTAAAGGCCGGAAGCCAACAGATATACAGCCTCCATCTCTACAGACCGTTTCAATTGGCTGGTAGTCGCAGACGATGAAGCAAAGCCTATGATTTAGTTTGGAACTGCGCAATATCATTGTTAGAAAGCCATTCGAGCCTCACTCAGTAATGAAAGCAGACTGGCCGAGATTTGGCTTCGGCAGGTTAGGTTTGGTCGTGGCCGGTCTCCACCTCGCTGATGGCCTGGTTTCGGGTTTCTTGGCCTCCTAAGGTCGTGTTTTCGTGTGGCTGCAATTTGCAACCACAGCCATATAGGTTTGTTGACACGTTGGAAAAGTATCACCTAGGTCTCTAAGTAATGAAAAGATATCAAGGCGTGATGTTAGTCGCCTCCTACTGGGAAAGTTTAAGTGGCGTGGGTTGAGACGGAGTAAAGAAAGCACTACCGCGATTGTACCAAAGGCAAAGAAAGACCTGTGGAATACTGGTGTATTTATTTTGGCTGTCATGTCGATTTTAGCAGTTATGATAGTTATTCTTCTGTATTGGCTTAAAAAAGATAATATGAAATAAGGTAGCCGGTCAATTACCTATGCCTTATCTGGTTCGTTACGTCATCTTTTTTCGGCGTTATATCGCCTCAAGTATCATATCCTGAATCTGTTTAACAATATTAACCTCCGTAGTCTGACTTGCCATAATATAAAACACATTTCCTAGCACCCTGGAGTGGATTTTGAAACCGCCGCTCACACTGAAGAGCGCGGACTGCAGCCCGACAGCAGCATTGGATGCGTATCCTGGGTTCTCGTCTCGCAATTTAATGGCCAAGACGGACCCAAGGGCGACGATACTGTCAACTTCAGCGCGACAAGAGACTTCGGAAAGGAACGTAGGAGACCACATGCTCCATACGTTTCCCTTGTCCTGCTCCCAAGGTCGCTTAAAGTCATCCCATGCCCCGCTTGCCTCCATCTGCAGTAGTTCTTTGATGGAGGTCTCGGCTACTTTACACCCCACGGCATGCGCCGTATAACTGTGACCATGCAGTAAGGCATCTCGCTTCTCGGCGCCCAAAAATGTTTTGTAGATGGCCTCGCTGGCAGCCGTTGCAGCGAGCGGCACAAGACCGCCCGTGAGGAGCTTGGCGTGTACGGAGATGTCAGGGTGCACGCCCAGAAGCGTACTGGGCGAAAAAGGGCCGAGGCGGGTCAGTCCCGTAAACACCTCGTCAAAGACAACGGGGAGACCAGTCCAGGTATTGTCATCCACTGTGTGAGTTGAATTGGAGGTGAAAAGAGTGTGTGACGCACGAACGACCGAGACCAGCGTGCTTTGGAAGAGCGGATCGATGAGAAGCATTCCCCCAGCGCCTAGAAGAACTGGCTCCATGACAAGCGCGCCAAAACTCTTGCCCTCCACGCGCACAAGGCGGTCGAGGGTTTTGAGGATATATGTCCTATATTTTTCAGCCGCAGCCGAGGCATTGCGCATCTCGAAGTCAAACACATCTCCTAAACTGGAAAATGTCTGTGTTGGGCCGTACTCGCCTTCCATGCCCTTGGGCGGCTCAACGATCCATTCCCCCCCCTTCATCTTTACCTCGGGGAAATCGAACCAGTGACCGCGTCCTTTGTACCAGTGGACGCGCTCGTTGTACGTTGACGGCTCCGAGCAGTCCATCGCTCCGATGGTGTCCCCGTGATAGGACGACCTGAGCCCCAACACGCCAAGTTCCTTCCTCTCGTAGTCGTACCGTTTCGATGCCGCCGATAATGCCATCTTCACAGCAACCTCTACGCCCGTACTGCCATTATCCGAGTAGAAAATGCGTTGCAAGCGTGGGTTGCCCAGGTGCTTCAACAAGAGCTCTGCTAAAGATAGAGCCGGTTCGTGAATCGTACCCGCAAACATGACGTGTCCGTAGCGACCAGCAGCGTGTGCAGCAGCCAAAGCGAGCTTGGTGTTGGCGTGACCAAGGCCCTGGGTCCACCACGAGGCGGAGCCGTCAAGAGTTGGCTTAAGCGTATTTTCTGGAGATGAGAAATATGCTTGGAAGAAATCGCCATGTGCCGAATCAATGGTCATGAGTGACGCTGGTGTAAGACCAGAATGTTGCGTAAAAGGATACCAGATGTGTTTATGCGCTTGCGGTGCCAAGTCGTTGAGGCGGGCGAGGCGCAACTGGTGTGAAGTGGCGAGATCCGTGACGGTGTCGAGAACTTCAGGCCTGGAGGACATTTCGTTGTAGTATTCGGCCATGCGCTCGTGGTCGGATGTCTTCGTGCTTGACGGGGATGGCGGCGGTGGGACTGAGAGAAGGGCAATGTCCCGCTCCGCAAAGTAGTCCCGGAGGTAGAGATGGTTCTCGTATGTCGCATCCTCAAACACCAATACTCTGCTAATGTCGTAGCCGCGGATGTGCAGTGACTCAAATGCGGCGATGGAGGCTGAAATGCCGCCCAGCCGGTGGTCGCCGACAAGGATGACGGGAAGTCGCAGAGGTTGGTACATGTCTGCCTGCGAACTTCCGGATGGGGCCGGCGAGTGCACACCGCCGGCTGTCTCGATCAGCAACGTTCCCTGGCCGTCTTCTGCGCATTTAGCCACATACGTCTGTATCTGTTTGCGAAGTGCAGCATCTGTGAGCTTCGTAGCCGCTACTCTAGCCGCCACATGCGGGCTCACAGGAGACCCATATTGAACCAACGTCTTGGATAGTGTTTGTGGCGAGAAGCGTGCAAGGTGGCCATCGTCAGCTTGATCCTGCGGGCCGGTCGACACCGGCTTCAAATACCAAACGTGTTCTTCGGGAAAGGCGCGGTGCAGCGCACCGCATAGAATGGCTGATGTAACTGTCTTGCCCACTCCTGTGTTCGCACCATAGACCTGATAGACACGCAAGGAGCGTCGAAGGATGGCGCCGGTGGCGGCAGTGACAGGCATTGTATGTTGTGGCCGTGGTTGTCTTCGCGGTCGTTGTCGTGGTTGTTGTCTGGTTCACATTATCGGTCAACTTTCCCGTGAGCGGCTCAACAATGGGTAAGGTGACATGTGCTACCCCACACACGGCTATTTGTGTTTTTAATGGCTCACTGACGTTTCCCCCCCCCCCCCCCTCCCCCCCACCAACGTCCCAAATAAGATCTGCTCCCCGTCTTCATGCTAGCAGATCATGCCCGTTGACTTTTTCAAGATGACAACTCCACACTCCCACAAGCCCGCCCCGAGACGAAAACTGGTGCTTTTCGGTTACAATCGGTTGCACAATGACTCCAAAGTAAGACGTGCGGTGAAATTTGCAATATATCAAATCAAAATATTTTTGACTTCCCGCCCCTTCCCCTTGATATAGTCACAACGTTCACAATTCGAAGCTCGACCCACCGAGAAGTCACCATCGACATGGCCTCCACACTTAGTGAGTCAATGCGGACCGCTCTCGCGTCGCGTGACCGTAAGTCTTCACTGCGCACCCTCAGCGTTGTCCCACCCGATTCGGTCGATTTCTCTTCCAACGACTTTCTGTCTCTCTCTGTGTCGGCCGCACTTCACGGCGCTTTTGTCGAGAACCTCCGCACTGGCCCATTGCGCCTCGGCTCTGGCGGCTCCCGGCTTTTGGATGGCAACAGCGAGTATGCTACTGCCCTCGAAGCCACCATTGCCTCCTTCCACAACGCTGAGGTGGGCTGTCTGTTTAACTCGGGCTTTGACGCCAACGCCGGCTTCTTTGCTTGTGTCCCGCAGCCGGGCGACGTCATCGTGTATGATGCGGTCATCCACGCGAGTGTGCACGAGGGCATGCGGCAGTCACGCGCTGGAGTGCGAGCGCCGTTCGAGCACAACGACGTTGGTGATCTAGATCGTGTCCTGCTGAAAGCTGTGGCGGAGGATGCGCAAGTAAAGCGCGGTGAGAGGAATGTTTTTGTTGCCGTGGAGAGTTTGTACAGCATGGATGGCGATGTCGCGCCGCTGAAGGAGATTGTCGAGGTGGTAGAACGTGTGCTACCTGCGGGAAATGGGAAGATAATTGTTGATGAAGCGCATTCAACTGGCGTGTATGGAGCTATGGGGCGGGGAGTCGTATGCGGTCTTGGGCTGGAAAAGAAGATGTTTGCCAGGCTTCATACCTTTGGTAAGGCATTGGCCTGTAACGGGGGTAGGACTCATATTCGAAATACTTTGGCCTTTTATCATGTGAACAACTTTGCTGATGTTTCTCATCTCCGCAGCCATCATTCTTTGCTCGCCGCTCACAAAAGAGTATCTCATCAACTACGCTCGTCCGCTCATCTACACGACATTCATGTCGTATCCTTCCCTGGTCGCTATCCGCACCGTATACGATTTGATGTTGAGCGGCGGGACTGCTGCAGCTGCTGCGCACTTATGGAAACTCGTCGTCCACCTCCACACCCGTCTTCTCGCATTACCGCTCTGTCCCACGAATCCCATCCTACGAATCCCAAAGCAGTGTCCACAATCGCCAATCTTTGCGCTCCTGACACCCCAGCCTCGCAGTTTGGCGCGAACGTGCCAGAAGGCTGGTTACGTCGTCCGAGCCATAGTGGCGCCGACAGTACCGTTGGGGATGGAGCGAGTGCGAGTTTGTCTGCATGCGGGAAATTCATTGGCAGAGGTGGAAGCTTTAGTCGGCATCATAAGGAAGTGGGTTCAAACGGGCGGAAGGAGGTCCGTCAAGCACAAAGCAAAAATATGAATGGCAGGTTCTGACATTCGTATGTATATGGTGAGCGAATAATAGCCAAACAGGTATTATGTGAATGAATGTGTTACAATCCATTGGTCACCCTTTGTGCCAGGCGACGACTTTGTTTACCCTTGGTGTTAGTTATTCTCTGAGTGTTTCGCCCTATGTCTAATGTACAACTGCCCCTATGACGAGGCGTAACCAGTACGCATGAAGCCGTATGTCGTTGGTCAACTCGGGATGAAAGCTGGTGCCTAGGATATTCCCCTGTCGTACGGCTACAATATCTCCCATTCCTGGAGCCGTCTCCCGCAACACAGCGAGAACTTGAACTTCTGGTCCGCTACTTGCCAACAAGGCCTTGACCACTGGAGCGCGGATGAACACGGCTGGAAATGGTCGGACTTCCATGTCAGCCTTGGTCGCAGTCTCAGTCTCAAGCAGTGGTATGTGTACGTCAGCAACAAAGCTCTGTTTCTGTCGACCAAAATGATTGCGATGCACAAGTATATCCAAACCACCAATCAGCTCCTGTCCTCCTATTTTTGTGCCCGTGGTTTCTTGAGACAGCAAGACCAATCCAGCACATGTACCCCAAGTGGGCTTTTTCTGAACTCTGTTGCTGTTAGAGACGATCGAAACCGTTGGGTTTCTTTCCAAACAGGAACGCCTGCACGCACCGGACAAAGTTGCGAAGTGGCTCCAACAGACCCGACCGCGACGCAATAAGTGCCATTGTGGTACTTTCACCGCCCGGGATGACAAGAGCATTGCATCTGGCAAGTTCTTTGGGCGTGCGGATCGCCATGATGCTGACCACTGTTGTCGTAACGCCCGTTTCGACGAGTTGTGCTGCTGTTTTCTCCAGCATCGAGACATGCTCGGCGAAGCCACCCTGCAGGGCCAAGACACCCACTATGATGGCCATATCCAGGTTGAATGTGCTTTCCAGTGTCAAACCACTTTCGAGGCAATGTTGAGGAATTAATTGCAAAATTCCAAGGTACATCCACAACGTTCAACAGCTCGGGTCCTCACCACGAAGTAGTCATTAAATGACTCATATTCACGTCCGACAACCGGTCGCTCGTTTAGCAACCTGACGCATTAGGCAAGTGGTCTGAAGTCCTACAGCCGACCAGACCAACCAGAGCCAACCGGAGCAAACCAGAGTGAGCCACTGCGGACAGCTTGGTCAACTGCGCAAGACTGTCCAATCGCAGCGCAGAGATGAGCAGAGTTTGCTGCCAAATCGGCATTAGTTCGGCAAGAATCGGAGGGCGGAGAAAAGTGTGTTAAAACGGGCGAGAGGGCTTCGAAAAGTTTCAAATCAACTCAAAAACTATCGTAAACATCATCGTCCCAAGACATCGCGAGCATCAATTTCAGCCTCACCAGCCTTGTCCTCGGTTTCCAGCCCGACAGCAGACAATCCACTGCCCACACTCCAAGATAAACAGGCATTGTCGACTCACGCAGCCAATCCCAGCGCACAGAACAGCCCCAGACATGGCATCCACCAATGAGAGCGCTGCTTTGAGCAGTTCCGGCAACGCTCCCGGCAAAATAGCGCCAAATGCAGCAACCAACTCTGCAACGGCAACCACCTCTGCCACGAGCCCGTTTACGGTCAAGGCGGGCCTTGCTCAAATGCTCAAGGGTGGTGTTATTAGTAAGGACGCGCCGTCGTGAAGCTCAGTTGTTGTCGTTCCCCGTCTCACTAACTTTTACCCCACAGTGGACGTCACCAATGCTGAGCAGGCGCGCATCGCTGAGGAGGCCGGCGCCTGTGCCGTTATGGCGCTTGAGCGTGTGCCTGCTGACATCCGTGCGACTGGTGGCGTTGCGCGCATGAGTGACCCTGCCATCATCAAGGCCATCCAGGCGGCGGTGACAATCCCGGTCATGGCCAAGGCCCGCATCGGGCACTTTGTGGAGTGCCAGATTCTCGAAGCACTGGCCGTCGACTACATTGACGAGAGCGAGGTGCTGACACCCGCCGACGACGCCTTCCACGTTGAAAAGGACGAGTTCTCAGTTCCTTTTGTATGTGGCTGCCGCAACCTGGGCGAGGCCCTGCGTCGCGTCGCCGAGGGCGCGGCCATGCTGCGAACCAAGGGCGAAGCCGGCACGGGTGACGTTGTCGAAGCTGTCAAGCACGTGCGTGCCGTGCGTGCCGATATTTGCGCGGCCCAGTCTGTCCTGAAACAGTCTGGCGAGAGCGGCATCCGCGCCCTGGCCCGCGAACTGGGCTGTGACGCAACTCTGCTGCGCGAGACCGCCGAGCTTGGCCGGCTACCAGTGGTTAACTTTGCCGCAGGCGGCATTGCAACGCCAGCGGACGCTGCGCTCATGATGCAGCTTGGCTGCGATGGAGTCTTTGTCGGCAGCGGCATCTTCAAGTCCGGCGACGCGGCCCAGCGCGCCAAAGCCATTGTGCGGGCCACAACCCACTACAGTGACGCACAGGTGCTTGCCGAGTGCAGTGAGGGGCTTGGCGAGGCCATGGTCGGCATCAGCGTTCGAAGTCTAAGGACAGAAGACAAGCTGGCCGGTCGCGGTTGGTAGCTAGCTGAGTAGAACGCCCAGTGGTGTGCCAAGTATCATGGCGTCTGTGTTCTATTTCGCAACCCAGGTTAAGCATGAGCAAGGATACGAATATAGATAGTGACTTTTCGCTGACATGCAGTATTATTTCGTGGCCGAGGAGAATTGTCTACTATGTGGACGTTAACGTCTACAAATACACTTCGAAAGCACAGGTTGTGTTTTTACAAGGGGTCATATATTAAACCATGCATATTAACCCTTCCAGCTCCAAGTGCGGAGTCACGCGTACCTTACAACAGACGAAACACTAAACTAACAATAGCGACGAACAGACGTATGCTGTTGTGCATGTAAACCGTACAGTATGACGTGTAAAATGGTTAACTACTCTTTGCACAGTGCGACACGAGTCGGCTCACAATATCTTCACTTCGAAACCAAGCTCCCGCTCAATGTCGGCGAGGAGATGCGCCATCGGTGTGATATATGTGAAATCCATACCCGATAAGGCTCGTTCCGCGAAACTTGTCCCGCCAGTGATCATCCCACCAACATAGCCACTTAGGTCAAAGGCGATTGCACCAGAATCACCCGTTGCGGAAAATACGTTCTCGTACGCGTCGTTCGGATTAGATCTCTTTTCACCGATATGGAGAACCATCCATTCCAGAGCTTGGACGCATTCATTTCCCACATAATATCTGCGTACGACCCTGAAGTCGTGCTCGACGCCGACGGTCAGACCAGTAGACCGACCACGTTTTAACAAAATCCTGCACGAATCGCCGCTTCGCAATTTGACGAGGTTGGGTGCGATGGGGGCCCCCAGTAGTTCACGCAGAGGAACGATCCCGGCCAAACGCATAAGATTTTCGTCAGGCGCTGTAAAGCGGTGGTCGCGGTGAAGACTGCGGTTAATAATGTCCGCAATGGGGTCACCAGTAAGCGTATTGACATCAACGAAGTTGGCGAAATTGAAACCTTGCGGGAATTTGGCCCGGTCTAGTGCAATTAGTGCCCAATCCCTCGTGTATCTAGGCTCGTCTGGATGGTCATTGACACCAGGAGGTGGCGCGTGGTCGACATGGCCGACAATGCGGCCCTGCTTTGCTGCACCGAAAGCAGCGAGTTTGTCGCTGAGGGTAGAAAGCCTGTCAAAATTCTCAACCCGGGCTTCCGTCACACGACTTCTCAGATCATCTTTCGCTTTAGCAACCAGTCGATGAATCGTCTTGATCGCCTCCCTGAGTTGCACAGAGGCAGGCATCAGTACCAGTGGCGTGCCGCTGTCATTCGAGCCAGTGTCACCGTCCGAACTTTCGCCATCAGAGCCAGTGTTGTCATCGCCTTTTTCGTCCTTGTCGTTCTTTTTGTCGTCTTTAGCATCGCCGTCTTCAGGACACACGACGTGGTGGCATGTGAGTGCCCAGACGGGATCGTCCAAACCCCCAGTGCCATGCGTCGGACCCAGAAAAAGGCCCAAGGTACCCTCGCTCCATTTCTTTTTCTTCGGGGCAACACTCGTTCCCAGTGTGGTTGCAATCGCCCGCTCACATGCGATTTCTTGGGTACTCATATCTCTAAGTCGGTCGCCACGCGTTGGCAGCACGTAACGTGGGCATATCGCTGGTAGATGACCAGCTGCATCGGCAGTCTTTATGTCATTGCTAGATCGGAGCTCGCATTCAACGTCGAAAAGCTGCTTTCTGTCGAGAATGCCGCGCACAAGGCTCAAGCAGTGGGCAATCATCGGCCATGTCGCGCTGGAGGCTACGGCACTTTCAATGCCAACCCAGAGGACAACCGGTCGCTCGTTCGCCGGCATTATTGTTCGACCAACCCGGACGGGTACCATGGATGAATACGGTACTTCATTAAACGCGTCTGAGAGGAGATCTCGGAAGGAATCGTTATCCCAGTGTTCGCGAATAGGATGTGCACCAACAGGTCCGCAGGACATGCTGGTATCCTCCCTCCCGTAGTTCCAAGCACCGCGCCGAGGAGCCGCCATCGCGTTATTCCAGGGCAATGAAAGAGAGGAAGTCCGGCCTAGGAGGATTGGCTGCGAAGGCAACCATTGGTAGTACATGGCGGCCTCGTCTTCGGAAGGCTCCTGAAAGTGGGGGGGGCGCGCTGCAGGTGGTTCGGTCTTGGTCACGTCGTGACTGTCAATGCTGGACGCTTGCGTCTCGTCGGACTTGTTTTTTCCCCGGCGAGATTCGGTAGGGCTCTCCGAACCTTCCGTGTCGTCGATTGGGCTTGTCACATCCGCCGTCTCGATCGAAACATCTTCAGCGCGGAGGGAGTCCATTGCGTTGGGCGCGGTAACTGCGTCATCTGGGGCGATAGGCCGTTGTGCGCGGTGAGGATGGGAACTCATGGCATGGGATAGATTAAAAAAGCTTCTCGGAAAATCAGGAAGTGATAGAGTAGATAGGTGACAATCCTGAGGATGATGTCGAGGATAGAGAAGATCGAGGGTGATCGAAATGGATGATGGAAGTTATATATTTAGAAACGCAAAAGACTGCGACAGGAGAAAAGGCGATTAGTTGGTACTCGTTCAGGATGGAGAGAGAGTTTTTGACAAAAACAAACACGGACAAAGACAATGAAGTGTTAGGCACACGCTTCAATATGCCACTTCGCAGTGCGAAGAACTCAAAATAAATGGCTTGTAATTACGGCGTACGTCACAGTTTGGTCGCGACAAAAATGGCCCAAATGTGCCAGTTAAAGAAAAGCGGGGCATTTAAAGTTCCATCACCAACCACTTAAAGCACTTCACTACGACGTATGGAGTAATACCGCCCCGGGAATCCGACTACCACCAACGGGCAGTATATCATCTTGATGACCTTGTTCGGTAATAAAGTTCATTGTAAAGTATCGTAGCAAACTTCCACAGTCACGCAACTATACCTTGGGAAGTCTCTCTCGGACTGGACAGGAAGACGGTGAATGGCCGTGTTATGAGCCAACGGGCATTACTTCGCATATTAACGTACTAGCATCATGGACTTACGTCTTGGGCTTGTTACGGCTTATTACTTCACGGCCAAACATATTCAGCAAACGAGCCAAAATCACAATAACGCCGGGTGGCTGAAAGGTATACAACAGAATGCACAACACCAAAACAACAAAAACATTGCAATCTATGCCTCGAAACCCATAACCTGAAACGCCCTTGGAATGCCAAAAGAGTGCCAATCATCACCGGCGAAGCCCAACACAAAGAGGGCCAGCACTTCATACGCAGGTCACACAAACAGCCCGACCCATGCTTTCTTTGCTGTGACATCCGACTGGCAGTTCTCTACGGCGCAGAGAATTGTCTTGCCCTCCGCAACAAAGACCACGGGCGGCACCCCCGTCTTTGTGGTAGCGCCGCTTCCACCACCTCCACCTGTGGCAATTGACGAGCCAGCGTCCTTTTTCAAGCAATTCCGCCGGTTCTCGTAACAAGATTTGCAAAACACGTGACCGCACGCTGTGGCGGCCCAGAAATTGTGCTCTTCGCGGTCCTTGCGACTGCGTGTCTTCTTTTTTGGCGGTTCGCTAGCATGGCGACCCATCTCGTTGGGATCATAGGCCAGTTCAACGTCGCATCCGGCACAGACGGCCACCATATCCTCGCCCGTGCTGCGAGTGTAGCCTTCGGGGGCAGTGGTAGGAGCGGGATACGCTGTTCGACGAGTACCACCGTAAGGGACGTCACGGTGACTATGGCTATTGCCATGACCGTGACTGCGACCGTGCGTATTGAATAGGCCACCGTTCATTTGGTAGTTGAGGTCGGGCAGATCGAACAACGGGTTGGTGCCCATGATTTCTTCAAACAAGGCGCGCTCGTTGCTTATGCCCATCCCAATCCCCATCCCCATCCCGATTCCGTGCAAATCAGGGACGCCGATGCCACGAACCGCCTCTGCCCTCACGGGCCGGTTATGCATCCTTGCGTGCGTCCGGCTCTGGCCCTGCTGGCGACCACTCCTACTGCTGCGGCTCACATTTCCTGCCACCACGCCGCCGCCGCCGCCGCCGCCAAAGGCAATGTTCGCAAAATGAGCCATACCACTGATGCTGAAACCTCCAAGACTGCTGCCAAAGCTGCCGAAAAGTGAGCCAGTTCCTCCACTGTTGTTGTTGTCGTTGTTTCCGCTGTTGTTACTGTTGCTGCCGTTGCTTCGATTGCTTCCGTCGCCTGCATTGTAAGACCCTTCACCGGCAAATGGCATGTTGGCGTAATCTTGCATAGATAGATGCAATGATTCTAAAAGGCCGTGCCCGGATTCGCGGTATTGTTGCTGTGCCTGTCGAAACCGTTGACGCTGCTGCGACATATGCTGCGCATGAAGGTGCCGATGCGCGCCGGCATCAGCAGCGGCTGAGGGGGGATCGTCGTCGGCGACATCGGTCAAGTCGATAACGTGTGGCGTCTGCGTTTGCGAGGATCGTGAAGAAGATTCGGCCGCTCGCGCAGACGATCGAAGTGCCGTTCGCGATGCCGTCTGCACTGCAGACCGTGCCGCCGACCGGGCGGCCGATCGAGCCACCATTCGAGAGGGAGAGGAGAAATGTTGCGCGTGCTGCAAAACAGGGCTGTCCGGTTCTTCGGTCAGGTCGATAATGTCACGCTCTGGCCGTTGCGGTGGCCGCGCCATGGCAGCTGACGATGCGACGCGGCAATAAGAGGGCCAAATAGCAGTGTGAGAATCGACTGATGTGTAGTGATTTTGTGTAGAGGACTAAAGTCGTTGCTGCCGTCACTTGCGTCACATCGGCATGTTGGTGCGTGGTTATGTTTGCGTTGGTGCTGATGTTGATGTTTGAGGGGCGTTCAGTAGTACTGTTCACAAATTCACGATTACGGTTATCCTCTGTTGAATTATTGCATTAGCAGCACAACAAAAACACGCGCTGGCTGCACAGGCGGCCAAGCGGCTACCATGTTGCCTACTAGGGATTCCGGCGCTAGTATGAGGGGCAAACTTCGGTTTCCGGCGCTTGGTCAGCCTGGCGAGCGTCTACAGCCCTAAACCCCGAGGGGCGATACGCTGGACAGCGAACGAATATTTGTAAAATCCGTCACCCAAGTCACGCGACGAACATAAAAAGAACCAGATGATATGACAAGAATAATGCGCTCTAAAGTCGACGATAGATACCAGTACAAAATAACACGCACGAGGAAAAAGAAAACTCAAAACGATAATAATTACGACATAAAAGACGACACATGAGCGACAAATTGTACAAATATTATCAGACACTTGGCCCGGCCAGCAACTCCAACTCGCCGTCCTACTCCTTCTTCCCTACCACAGACACAACGCCGTCTGCATTCACCGACAGCAGCTGCTTTGCGTGCGCGCCCCACTGTACGGCTACAGAAGGCGTCGCACTCGACAGCGTCTGCGACCACTTCTTGGAGCCCTTGGCGTAGTGCTGCACCGTGAGCCCCGCCGGGCCGGCCGTGGCCAAGAACTGACCCGAGTAGTCCCAGGCCAGCGCGGCGACGGGGCTACCAATGTCCAGCACCTTGGCCGTGACAGCGTCGCCCTCCTTTCTCAAATCAAAAATAGTGACAGTGGTCTGGCCCTTAGCGGTGGCAGCAATCCAGTAGCCGTTCTCCGAGAACGCCAGCGCCTGCACAGGTGCCCCCAGCACAAATGATGTGGCCAGCTCGCCCGTCTTGGTCATGTAGACCTGCACCTCACCCGTGGTAGACGTGCCGGCAGCCAGCAGGTGACCATCGGGTTGAAAAGCACAGGCAGTCAGCGACGCGGTGCTGTGGGCGCGGCTGACGCGGGTGGCGGTATCCAGATCGTAGAGGGAAATGGTCTTATCGACACCAACAGATGCCAGAATGCGTCCCGATGGGTGGACGGCCAAGCCAGTGACGGCGCCGGCATGTGCTTTAAGTGAAGCTTTCTCGGAACCTGCCTCGTAGATCTTGATAGCGCCCTTTGCCGTGCCCAGGACGATGCGCGTGCTGCCTATCCACAAGGCCGTCGTCAATGGCTCGCCAACCTCAATCATACGCTCGAGCTTCTGTGATACCACAGCAAAGATGCCCACACTGCCCTCCAGCCCGGCAATCGCAGCATATTCGCTGTCGGTGGCCTCGATTGTCAAGGCCGTGGCGCGGACCACGGGCAAGTCCTCGGACGCAATCGGGGCAAAGGCAGCAATGTCCTCGTTGGACGCCCAGTCCGCCGGTATGCCTCTCTTCTTCCGTGACTTGGACAGCGTCTTGTGCGTTTCATCCACGGCCGCGGCCAGTACCTCGGGCAGCTCCTCGTTGTCGACTGCCATCGAGTCGTCGTCGCCATCAGTCGCGCTGGCAGCAGCAACAGTCACGCGTGACAAGGAGTCTCGCGCGTCGTCGCGCTCTTTGGTTAGGCGCGCGATCACGCGAATTGCCGCATCGTGCTGATACAGGGCCGTTGCCAGCTCCGTGCGTGTTTGGGAGAGCTGCTCCTGCAACGTGTATGTCTCGAGGGCTAGGGCGTCCCACTCGTTTTGGAACGTCGCAAGCAGTGCCGGGATGGATGTCAGGGTGGGTGGTCGCGGACGCACAGTGCGGCCGGCCTTGAGGGGTAGCAGATCCTCGACATCGAGCTCCGTCTCCGTGCCTGGTTCGGTTCCATGTTCTTCAATGTACTTTTCAATCAGGCGCTTCTCGTAGACGGTGCCGGTCTTTTTCGAGACGACCGGCACCTCGGGCACCTCGCCGGAGATGGCGCACAGCATCGTGGGGAGAGGCGAAGGAGAATTTGTCGGCCTAATACAAAGTAATGGAGGGAGGTGAGGGAGCAGGAAAAGTCGGAAATGGTCGTTACTGACTAATGAGGTACGCTGTGCTAACGTCGTCAATTGGTGACAGATGGGTTGAATGCTGTAGATGACCTTCCGGCGAGCTCGTTGTGCCTGGGCCTGTTCGTCGCGTCGAAATATTTTATGCTAGGCACGGCTGGCCAATCAGATGCCGTGGTGATAAGATAGTGCCAGTTCACCTTGGTCAACTCGTACGGAGTATGTCGTTGGTCATAGCACTGTAAGAATGGTCCGTAATTAACAGCTAGGCCAACCGGCAAAATAGAGAGCCCTCTAACACCAAGGCTAGAAAACAGGTCTGAAAAATATTACCGTGGAATTCCAACAAGCACTGTTTTTCTGTAGTTTGCCGCGTGTTATCCAACCACCAAATGTCGTGCAGAACTTCCTCTTCTCCATTTCTTTGAATTCATCACATCTTGCTACCATTACTGCCGCTTTCCTGGGCCAAAACGTTCGCGTGAGGCCCCTTTGGTACGCAAAATGGGCGCACCTGGCCCAATTAGAAAATCGGCGCCGTCCGTCTGATTCAGCGGCCACCGCCGTCCACAGCGATCTCCACAGCCATCTACGAGCCACTAAGCTCAGTATAAGAATCGGCGAAGGAGGCAATGAGCCATGTCACCAACCACGCGCCATAATACTCGGATATTGTATCTTACAGCGACCTGGACCTGATACCGTGATAACTAGCAGCTATACTTGCTCATCATGGCCTCTCTCAGTCTACCCCCTATTGCAACTCTCGCATCCCTGCCCGTTGAGGACATCACCGCGGCCCTCGACCTGCTCTTTGAGCACAGCAAAGACCTCCATACGCTGGCTGTTCCAGCCATTCGCTCTACTGCCTCGTCAGGCGGCCTCAACTCGTATGACGACGTCGCCGACACAGTCCGCACACAGCTTCTAGAGCTGCAGAACCAGGTAGCCACCTTTGTCGATCCAAAACCGACGCAGGCCGCACTGGCTGCCAAGTCTAAGCTGCTCAACATCCTGTGCGCTCACCCACGCCTCGGAGCCAAGAAGGTCGAAAGTGCCCAGAGCGTGGCCGAACAGGCGCAGCTCAACAAGGCATCGGCCAATGAGGCGAGACTGCTAGCCGCGCTCAACGCCGAGTATGAGGCCGCTTTCCCAGGGCTCGTCTATGTGGTTTTTGTGAACGGCCGGTCACGAGACGAGATTATGGAGAACATGCGGGCACGCATTGACCGAGGTGTCTATGCTCTGGAGGAGGTCGAGGCCATAGAGGTAAGTGCCGGCAGTGCTTGGTCTTCGTTTGGGTTTTGTTTTTGTTTTTGTTTTTGTTTTTTTTTGGGGGGGGGGGGCGTCGTTCTATCTCTTATCCTCTGCTCATAATGTCTTTTTTAACCACGAGACTGACGATATCAAACAACCAGGCCATGACCTGCATTGCCAAAGACCGTGCCAACAAGTTGACCCACGGAGGTAAATGAGGTCGGGTGGCTTGAAGTTATGCATTTGGTCTATCACTCTGAGTTGACGAGTTCAATACGATGGACGTAAGGTTGTAAGGTTTCAACCATGTTTTCCATGTTGAATGCTTTACAAGGTGATGGAGTCATCCATCAACATAAAAACAGCCATTAAAGCAGTATGTTACTGCGCACACTACTGACATCGAAGACTTTTGTATTGTTAGTTGCTCGGATGTCAAACGTACATCAGAGGTTCTTTCGATAAAAATTCCCTCTATTCGGTGGTATTACAGGTAGCAAGTCGTAAGATTACACACACAAGCAAAAATATATACATATGATATGCATTTTGGCCTATTTAAACCCGTTTGATTTGCAAAAAAAAAAAAAAAAAGAAAGAAAGAAAGAAAGAAAGAAAGAAAGAATGAAAACCACGAGAAATTCGTGATACTTTAAATTATACATAGACAGTTCAAATAAAAGCACTGAAACTTCCCCACTGCAATGCAAAGGCCTTGTGCACGACGTAAGTTTCCTGACGTCCATTATTTCAGAGGCTTTCTCCAAGTCTTTGACCACCGCGTCGACCCCACCACTGATTTTACTCAGCCCTGGCTATTTAGCGCGAAATGCCGATATCGACCTGCGCATAGGTCTGCTGAGGTGCGTTTACAAGCTGCATGTCTAGTCACGTGATATTCAGCACGAAAAATAACGCTAGTCTTATCCAGGAAAGGACATCATTTTGCAATAGGGATTTTCCTCGTTTTCCTCGGCCCACCGCCCGCCAAAAGGCCATCAAACAAGCAGGTGGGCAGCTATGTTTCCGGGACGCCGTCAGCCCATATCACCAAAAGCCTCAAATTCGCGTTTTCGTCCTTCAATTTCTCTCTTCGCTGATTTCGTCTTCCACACCCACCTTCCGAAGCCGCCTTCGACGCACCCGCAAAGCAGTCAATTCGGATCGCCAATCGCGGAGCGAACGTTTGATAGAAATATTTCCCTCCCACCCTCTTCTCTCAACCAGCCGACACCATGTTCATGCAGCGCGCTGCTCTGACTGCTGCCCGCCGGGCCGCCGTTGCACCTGTCGTCCGCCGCGCCTTCACGACGTCGTTTGTCCGCTGTACGTACCCGAGAGGAAATTATGAAGCAGTTGAGATATGTTTCCTATTGTGGATGCAACCGTGGCAGTAACCCAAGGAGGAGGATGACAAGTGCTTGGCATGGCACATGCACCAGGAAACGCGATAATTGTGAATCGATGCTGGAAAACACGACATGTTAACATATGATTGATTACTAGGCGAGGCCGCTCCTCCTACCAACACGACCCCCAAGATCAAGTTTCTTTCCGGTAAGACTTTCCCCATGATGAAACTGAAGTTCCTTCTCATCTAGCCATTGCGGGCCAGCATAAGCTAATATGCCTCCTTTCTTCTCCAGATGTCAAGACAAGTGCAGACCTTCTCGGCCCGGGTGCCCAGCCTGGCACTGTCCCCACAGACCTCGAGCAATCAACCGGTATCGAGCGTCTCGAGATTCTCGGCAAGATGGAGGATGTTGACGTGTTCGACATGCGGCCCTTGGATGCGTCGCGCAAGGGGACTGTTGAGAATCCCATCTTGGTCCGCTCCGCTGGTGAGGAGCAGTACGCCGGTTGCACGGGCTTCCCAGCTGACTCGCACAACGTCATCTGGGTCGGCCTTTCGCGTGAGCGCCCCGTTGACCGCTGCTCCGAGTGCGGCAATGTTTACAAGATGAACTACGTTGGACCCCAAGACGACGGCCACGGCCACCACGATCACCACCACGGCTACGAGGAGCCCAAGACGTTTGCCGACTTTGTCAAGCCAGAGTACTGGTAAACGGTGCAACGATTCACTAGATCAACGGATCAACCGATCAGATAATAGCTGTGGGTTGGTTTATCATTGCCGTGACTGGCACGGGACGAGTAGAACAGGATGAAGTATACATGGACGGGCTCTAGATAATGAAACGAAATCGTGAATAAAAATTGTCTACACGTCAAGATGTTTTGCTTGTCAACGGTTCGTTTCCTTTGCAAGACCATTTTATGTCCAAGTCGGTAGGCACATTTCGCATGGGGATGGCCTAGTCGACACTCTTCAGTCGTTCTGTGTATTCTGCTTATGCACAATGTGTCGTTTGCTAGTAAGTCTTTCAACCATTACGAACCGTGCAAGCTCTGCTAGCTGTGCCCATGACCCTTTCCTCGACATAACATGGTGCATGAGGAGGCCAAGAAGTTTAGCAACGCGGCGCAAGAGTGCCCCGGTCGGACGTCGGTGCTGGGTATGTGGCTGTTTGGCACCGTCCCGGCAGGCGCGTCGGTGGTTTCGCATCGAGGTTTGAGGTATTCGGTGTCTCAATTGATTTACCAATCGACCTATGCTCAACCCTCGTCTTCATCCTCGAAGCTCAGCTGGATCTTCCTTGCCTTTTTCTTCTTCTTGACATTATCCCTTTCGCTTCCCTGCGAGGTTGCCTTCTTCATGGCACCTCCGTCTTCCGACACCTTGGCGCGGGCCTTTCCATCATCGCTTTTGTCATCGTTGTCACGAAAGCGCCGCTTCCGTTTCCGACGGTCGGTGCTATTACTGTTGTCACTATCACCGTCGCTTTCGCCACCAATGACCCGTCCAAGCCTTTTCTTTTTTCCGGCACCAATACCAACAACGCCATCCACGGAAGTACTGGTCTTTTCGTATCTCTTTGTCGTCCCCGCTTCGTCATGTTTGTCCTTGTTGTCCATAGTCGCAATACCGTCTGTGTCAACCGTCACGCCTGCCATAACATTGCCATTGTCGTCTAATATGAGGGGCGCATCCTCTGCTTCTTCGCTAGCCGAGCGCTTCTTGGCAGCACGACGCTGAGTGGCAAGAATTGGGTCGGCTCGTTGGCCGTTGCGGTCGTCTTTGTACTGGCCCTGCAGTTTGGCCAGAAATGCCGGCAGATTTTGCGAGTAGGAAAGACTGTTTGCGTTGAACTTTCCCATTTTGCTGTGTGTCGAGGAGCCGACGATCTGCCAACAAGTTGATAACGTGCGAGGCAGGGCTGTGAACAGATTTTGGCCGTGTTGATGTGAGAATACATGGCGGAGCCTGATGAGGTTTGTTTAGCCAATGAGGAGAGCTAGCCACCTGCTGACATTGTGGTGCAGCAATGATAGTCAAGTGCAAAAGCAGCGTCGGTAACACTTAGTTACTTGATCTTCCACTTGTAGCGCTACCGTGGCGAATGTTATGCGAATGCTATGCAAATACGACCCCGCCGTTGCCTTATTTTAATGTTCAACTGCCCAAAAGCTCCGGTTCTTCGTGTGTCTTTTGCCCAAAACCTAATTAACTTTTCAAAGCACCGCAGAAATTTACAACTCCGTTGGTCCGCTTTTAGTTCCTAACTCTGATATACCTCTGCCAGGTCCCGATGATAGCATTCATTACGGCGACGGCTGCAGCCGCCATGGACAGTCTGCCAACCGCCGTTACTCGTCTTGCGGTCCTCTACGCTGGAGTCAAGGTTACTCACGCGCTATACAAAATTGTCAGCTTCTGCGCCGTATACCTGCGGCCGTCCCAGTTGTACCGTTATGTTTACGACGATGCCAACGGTAACCCACCTTGGGCATTGGTGACAGGTGCCTCTGATGGCGTCGGCGTCGCTTTTGCGGATCAGCTTGCCGCCGCCGGGCTCAATGTTGTGCTGCACGGGCGCAACAAAGCAAAACTGGACAGTGTCCGCAGGCGACTCGCGGAGAAGCACCCGCAACGGCAATTCCGTCTGTTTGTGGCCGATGCAACGCGCGTGTGCCACCCGGTGCTCACCGACGTCAACGGAGACATTGACGGAGACGTCAACGCCAGCTTATCTATTGACAACCTCGTCGAAGCCCACTTGGGCGACCTTCACCTGACTGTGCTCGTCAACAACGCGGGCGGCGGTCTGCCTTCGCCGACGTACGGCTCGCTGGCCGAGACGTCGAGCACCCGCATCGTGGATAATATGAATCTCAACGGTGTGTTCCCACTGGTACTCACGGCGCGCTTTCTCGAGCTGCTCCAGCGACGCCGACAGCAACCAACGTCATCATCTTCAAGCCCCGCTCTCATCATGAATATTGGCTCGTTAGCCGATATTGGCTTTCCCTTTGTCACACCCTACGCCGCGTCCAAGGTGCTAGTCATGGCCGCCACGAGCATGGCCCGCCGCGAGCTGGAGGCCCTCGGCCAGGGTGGCATCCAGATGCTCGCTGTGCGCTTCGGCAGCGTCACGGGTGTCAGCCACACCAAGAGTGCACCGAGCCTCTTGGTGCCGGACACGGATACTATGGCGCGCGCCTCCCTCGCTCGGACAGGCAGCCGCCGTGACGTTGTTATTGGTCATCTGCCACAGGCGTTACAGAACTTGGCACTTGGCCCACTTCCAGCGTCTATGCTAGAACAAATTTTTAAAAGCGTTATGATGGCACGGCGCACTAAGGAGATGGAGGAGATGTCGGAACAGAAGAAATCGGAATAGGTTTAAAGCCGTTGCTTATCGATATCCGGAGCCGTAACGTCGTTAGTCAATTTAGAAACTTGACTGCCGGACAAGTAAATCGCGGCAACACATCTGCAGTATCGTGGGTTTCAAGCCACCCAACGTACAAGACAGGATCCAGTATTTCGTATGGACAGCACCTTTTCGCCGAATACGCAAAGCGTATTGTGGTCACGTGTCTTCTGCCTCCTTTTTGCTCCTCCTTTCCATAGAAGCTTGGCCTTGTTCATTTCCAGGAGGCTTCAGCAGCTCTTAAGAGTTTGATCATAGGCCAGAATCAGTTTGTCTTACGCTGTGCAAGCTCCTGTTCTAGGCCAGTTTCCCTGTATCCTGTCGAGCAATTACTGACCGTTGAAAATGCCAGCCCACCAATTCGGACCAATTAGGGTGTCCTATTTCATTCTCGACCAGGGGAGTTAAAAGTGGGACTTACCTGCAGACTTTCATTACGTGGTGAGGCACCCTAGCGTGGAATGAAAGGGAGGCGGAAGAATTAGTGATTTAATTTTTGCATTAAATTTAATTCCGGTTCCTGCTTCGAAATCTGGCACTGGCTCGATTGCTCCTCATACGAAATTTGCCCCTTAGCGAATTCTGTCCTGAAGAGTGGCCCGAGGCCAGACCTTATGTCAATTGGAGATTTTGTCTTTTCTGGTCTTGATTCGAGGGTCTTCTGTATTCTTTTGTTCTCCCTTCTTTGACGTGAGCGTTGAGCTTCCCATAGACGATAACTAGCGCCAGTAAACTTCGTGCCGCCTTGGACGAGTTACTGCTGTCCGCTGCCCCTTCCTTTCCACGCTCCTTCTCTGTGCAGCGCGCAGTGGTGCAGAGGGAGATAGACCTTGCATACCCGCATAGCTGCATTTTCCCCTAATCTCGTCAGTTTCTCGGCTTCGACAAGTTTTCCTCCCTCCCATCTCTTTCCTTTCCTCCGTTCTCGTTCCCAACCGCACCAACCGCCTCTGTGTTGACAGGAACACCCTCACTTTTGTCGACGGTGACCTGTCCGCCATTCGAATCGACTGCGGTCTTCCAGAAGCGCCTCCGCCGCATCGACGGCGCTTGTCTGCCACTGGATCTTGATCTTGGCGATCGTGTTTTCTCGCTCACGCAACAAATTGTCTTTCGTTCATTTCTCTTTCCCTTCTCCGCCACTCGCTCGGATTCGACGTTACTAAACAACACGTACGCGTGCTGCCATTCGGCTTGATGCTTGCGCTGGCTTCGTTTTGATGCTATCTGCTTGCTTCTTCAGATTCTCTTGTACTTTTGTTCATCGACGTTGACTTTTGTGATCCATCGCGGTCCATTTCGTGCAGCCTTTCCCATCCATCCCTATTGATAGTTGGACTCAGGACTCACGGCGACCGTCCTCTGGTCTTCCACATTTTGGTGTCGGCTGCCCATTGAGTGTTTCCTTAAGCCTTTGGCGTTTTGACACTTTCACCCATACCTCTCCCATCGGACAAACTCGACACACGATCCTCGAAAGTCCTCCCCGTGTCGCTCTACGCAGCCGCGACTATGGATATCGTCCGGCGGGTGTCCCGGTACATCCCGGCGACCCGGACGCCGCAACTACCGTCTGCGGACAACAGCAAGAATCGCAATAAATCGCGTTCGGCAAAGCTGTGGTCACGCCTCGAGTTCTTCCGCCGCCCATTGCGGTTAAGAGGCAACTCAAGCATATCGGTGCCTCTGGGTGTCGTCATCCTCTTTCCCTGCATTGTCGTCATTCTCATCCTGGTGCTCTTTGTCAAGCACCCAAACTCGCCCGGCCGGATATTAATGCCAGCCGGTGCTCCGCCTTCCATTCGGTATGTCTACTACATGCCCTCTTTGTTTTTTTTTTTTTTTTTTTTTTTTTTTTTCAATCATCCTAACAAGCTTGTAGCAAAATCAGCGAAAAACACGACAAGGTTTTCGTCAGCGGCTGCCTCGAGCCCGATACCAGTCAACCCCGCGCGAATGCGGCCTTTGTCGTCCTCGCCCGCAACAAGGAGCTAGACGGTGTGATCCAGTCCATGAAGTCTATCGAGCGCCACTTCAATCGCTGGTACCACTACCCGTACGTCTTCTTGAATGATGGCGACTTCAACCAGACCTTCAAGGACACCGTCCGCAACTACACCACGTCCTCTATTGAGTTTGGCAAGGTTGGCGCCGACATGTGGGGCTTCCCTGACTGGATCGATCCCAAAATTGCCAAAGAGGGCATTGCCAAGCAGGGTGATGCTGCCGTCATGTATGGCGGTCTCGAGAGCTACCACGCCATGTGTCGGTTCTACTCGGGGTATGTTCCACTATCTACACTTGTTGATGGTATGTACCTGTCACAGAAACGTTGTATTAACTTGGCCCACAGATTCTTCTACAAGCACCCCTTGCTGGCGAAATACGAGTGGTACTGGCGGTTAGAGCCGGAAATCAAGTACTTCTGCGACATAACCTACGACCCCTTCCTGCACATGATCGAGGCCAACAAAACGTACGGATTTACCATTGCCGTCAAGGAGCTACGTGAAACCGTCCCCAACATGTTCCGTTACGCGTCAGCCTACAAGCGTATGAACAACCTGACCTCTAAGGGCCTGTGGGAAATGTTTGTTGAGCCACAGCCCGAGAAGGAAGAAGCTCTCGCTGAAGACGACCCCAAGTACAAGGGGCCGTTGCCTGACGAGGTTCTCCGCGCTGAGAAGGCCCGCAAGAGCCAGCAGGAAATCGACCCGGAGAACATGGAAGGCGAAAAGTACAACATGTGTCATTTTTGGTCCAACTTTGAGATTGCACGGCTCGATTTTTTCCGCAGCAAGGAGTATGAAGACTTCTTTGAGATGATGGATCGCAGCGGCGGTTTCTGGATGGAGCGGTGGGGTGACGCGCCCATCCACTCACTGGCAGCCGGTGCGTTGCTGGGGCCCAGCGATATACACTACTTCCGCGACTTTGGCTACCGCCATACGACAATCCAGCACTGCCCTGCCAATGCACCGGCACGACAGTTGCCGCGTACGCCGTACCTGGAGAAGACCACGTTGGACGAACGAAAGCGGATAGAAGAGGACAAGTACTGGGACCAGTTTGACGAGCCCAAGGTGAACGGCGTGGGCTGCCGCTGCCGCTGCGACACAGACATTGTCGATGTGGAGGGCAAGGAAGGCAGTTGTCTGGCCGAGTGGGTCGATATTGCCGGCGGATGGGCGAGTCCTTAGACGCCGCGTAAATCACCCCTCCATGCAGACACATACCCTTTCTTTACCTCCTTCTTCCCCTCTCATGAGACAAGTACAAGGAAATAATCATAATGATGGCGTTTTATATCTCACCCCATTCCTGTTTGCAAAAGCCAAAATAACATACCTTTCAGATTTGTCTTGCCTAGTAAAGGGGCCTCAATGCAGTTTTGCCTCGCACATCCCTCGAGCCAGTCAGTCTTGATATCCTTTCGTCTTCTCGTCTTGTTCGTTAAATCCACTCCCTTGTACATGATCCCGTCCTGTCTATCCCATAACTTTTTTAAGTGTTTTCCCCATCGGATTCTTTTTCATTTGTTATATGTTACCTTTGTTTTTGAATGGGCTGTCTCTAGAGGAATTGTACGTGAATTTGTCTGGCTTGGTTGCTTTATTTTTACATTGTCACCCAATTTACCATCGACGAAAATTTTATATTACTTTACTAACATGGCCCTCCCGCCCTCCTTCGTCGGACGTACGGGTGCTCCTATTAGCTTGTTGCTACGTTGTGCAGGGCTGATTCTGCCTGGTACAATTCGCTTTCAGGGCTACCGGGGTGGGAGATAGACAAACAATAAAAGCAGTTTTGATCCGAAAAGAGATGAAACGTGATGTCAATATCGAAGCGAAAATATGCGTAATAGTTGGAAGTTGATGATAATTCACTTGTACGGCCGTAAGAAAAAAGTGAGGTGAAAGTGTAGTTAAAATAAAGTAAAACGTGAAAAATTTCACGATTCGTCGGATACGGCGAATGTAATCGAAATAACGGTCTTTAATTAGTTTAATTCTACGAAGACCTATAAAACGTTTACGACGAAAGGGACGAAAGGTGAAGTAATTTAAAGATTTAAAAAACCCTCTTTTTTATAATAATAACAACGATAATAATAACGGTACGTATTTAAAACGAATTCGTGTATAATATAAACGATATACGTATATTTTATTACGTTTAAAAGATTCGTACGGTTTAAACGAATTAAACGATATTAAAATTTTAAAGAAATCTTATTAATAACCTACTTTTCCGGTCCGTTTTAAACACACGAAATACGACATCGTTAAACCTTATATACACTATAACTCCCGACGTTCCTATTAACGGAACCGTTCCTTACCCCCCCGTTATAAACGTTAACGTATACGTTATAAGTAGAGTAAGCGTTACGGGCGTTACGAGCGTTACGGACGTTATAAACGTTAACGACGCGGTTAATAACGGACCCGTTATAGTTAATGGTACGTTTATTACGGACGTTTTAAACGTTAACACGGTTATTATAACTAACGGAACGGTTATTACGGGTCTTAACGGTTTAAATATTTTTTTACTCTAGGTTTAACCCGACGTAACCGGTTTAGTAACGGACCGTAGCGTTACGGTCCCTTTCGTAACCGATCCGACGGTATATTACGACCGGTTATAGTTAGATTTATTTTTTACGGTTTTTTTATAAAATTATAACTAACCGTTTCGATTTATTAAATATTAAACTTTAAGTCCGATCCGATCCGTTTCGAAGAGTGGTTAATCACGGTGGTAGACGACTAGGATACTACGAACCACCGTTTAATTATAAATACGGTTAAACTATTAGTCGAACGTATAATATATTATAAACTATTACGGGCCTTTACTTTTTTATTAAAAATTATTTTTAATTATATCCGGTTATTACGTATTAAATTTACATTTATAATAAACCGTTTCTTATAATTCGTTTACGTTTTAGACCGGAACGACTACGTTAACCTTATAACGTAGTTTTAATATTAAAATAGTATTAATTTAAACGGTTAACACGTCCGTAACGGTTAATTACGGTTATTATTTTAAACGGTCCGGACCGTTCACCGACTACGTTACGTTTATAAACGTTAGTAACGAGTCTTACGGAAACTACCACTATAATTCTAATACTAGTAGGTGTACATTTAAAGTTAAGGGTAAGTACGAAATATAAACGAAACGGTTTATTATAGTTGTAAATTAATATTTTTTTTAAACCTTAGATTACGTCTTACGGTAAAATACGCCGTTACGACCGTTCCGGGCCCGTCTCGGGCGGTTAAAAAGGGAAAACAGACCGTAACGGCCCGTAACGACGACGACGACGAAGATAACGACGATAATAACGATAACGTCACAGTCGTTACGTTTATAAAACGGGCCGGAATAACCCTTAGTTCGAAGAGTACGACTAAGACCGTTAAGTTTTTTACTTTTTTTAAAAAGGTTATATAAGATATATAACGGGCCGAAACGGTCATTTTTTATTTTTTTTCTTTTATTTTTCGAGTTAGTTTAATAAAGTGTTTTATATATTACGGACCGTTACGGTTATTTTTTTTAAAAAAAAAACATTAATATTTTTAAACGTAAAGATACGAAACGGACCGTAAAGGCCGATAAATTAACGGAATTTTTATAAAGGGTACTTAATATAAGCCGTTACGGGGTGGATAATTTGTTTTTTTTTTTTTTTTTTTAATTTTTTTAATACATTATATTACTTTCCGTTTATATTCTAGTCCGTAACACCCGTAAAATTAACTTTATATTAACACCTTTAAATATATAATATTCTCCGTATAATCTTAGTTACGGTCCGTTAAATATACGGTAAACCTTAAAATATCCGTTATACGGGATAGTACTATATATAACTAACCGTAAGTAAAAATAAACGTCCGTAAATTTATACTAACGGTCCGGAACGATTAACCTTACGACTTATTAATAGTTATAGAAAAATAAAGACGGACTAGAAATTAACGTCGTTTTAGTGTCATAATCGATTCGTGGCCGAAGACCACGAATCAAGTGACTAGGCTTACATAATAAGGCGCGGTGTGGCTGGTCCCCAGCCACACGCTAACGCCACGTTAGTGAAAAAAACCTTTCTCCTTAAATAAGAGGACTCCCTTCTTCCTTTTAAGAAGAAGGGGTAAGAATTAGTCTCTGTTACAATACACACCTACCTTCGCCCTTAAAACCAATACTTTTTATTAACTAATCTATTATAAAGACCTATCCTATAATCACTTATAACAATTCTAATTCTTCTCTTTACGGATACCTTTTTACGATAGTTGGAAGAAGAGAAACGATAAACCCACTCTCCACCGGGTCGAGCCGAGTTACACGTTCGTACTCGTGAGGCCTTACGAGTCTTTTACGAGTAAACGTCGACTTTATCCCCGAAAACCTTAACTTATAACTAACGGTCGAAGACTCGATCGGATCTTCGAGTATTAAAGTAGTAATAATAATACCGACTAGTGGAGAAGAGGGAGAAAAAGGTGGTGGGATTAGTACTATTACGAAAGAATAAGTCGAAGAGAAAGACGACGAAGAAAAGGCGTTTAAAAAAAGGTTAACGACGTTTAAAAGGAAACGAACTCTCGAAAAAAGAATCGTGGTTTTAAAGGATATAAAACGTTAACGAGTCCTTCGTCGAAACGAAAAGATTAAAAATAAATTTACCGTTTCCCTCTCTTTAACCCCGTTATTTAAAGAAAATTCTTTTAAGTCGAATAATAACTTAAAAGTCGACGAAGAAACGTAAAAGGGTCGTAAGTCGAGAGATTTAAAAATACAACTATCGTTTAAAGTTTATAAGAATTATTCCACTTTCGAAGACCGGGAATTTTAAATCTTAAAATTAAAAATAATATTTAAAGTTAAACTATACGAATTCTCGAATTCTCGTAATCGAGTCGTCGTTACTTATAACTATATAAATAAACCGTTTAAAAAGTAATAAAACTAGTATATACGTAACGTTAAAAATCTCGAGGAACGTCGACGACTCGAACGTTTTTAAGATAAATTTAAAGAGTAAATAACGACACTCGTTTTTACTATAAACGACCCGTCGATATAAACCTATAAGTTATATAAAAAGGCACGCTCTCGATTTAACTAACCGTTATCCGAGTTTTTAAACTACTTACGTTTTTTAAAAGAGTAAATAACGTCTCTTTTTAATAAATTTAAAAAAAAGGCTTTTTATTTTAAGTTAAATAATTAACTTAAGTATACGTTAAATAAAGTTATCGATTATAAAAAGATTAACCTTCGAAACCTATACGTAAAAACCGAATCATTATTTATATAACGAGTAAAAAATCGTTTTACTAATAACGTTTATAATTCGTAAAAAAGTCGTAAACGACTCGACGATAAACCGTAAAAAGACGTATTTTAAAAAGAGAAACGTTAACGCCGTTTAAACGGTTATAAAAATCGTAAAAACGATAAAAGGAGGAATATAACGGACTTTTAACCTCCTCGTTTATAAAATAAAAAAGAGTCGTAAAAGAAACCCTCGGTTACTTACTTTAAATATAATAAAGTAGGATACTACGTAAATAACTACTTAAAAAACGTATTTATTTAAAATACTATTATTAAAAAACCTATTAAGTTAAAAAACCTTTAATTACCTCTTTTAAGTTTAAAGAAAAGACGATAAAAATAAAATATAAACTATTAAAGAATACGTTAATAATATATCACGGGAGAATCGAGGAAGAAACGACTATTACTTTAAACACTACTACGGGGTTAAATATCGTAAGTATTTAATTCGTAAGACGACTTTAACTACGAAAAACGAGATATCCCGATTCGGTAACGCGTTTAACAAACGTCTTTAAAACTTAAACATTTAAAATCTAGGATATCTTTATCACTTTTACGGATTTCCGTAAAAGGATTAAAAAGACGATCCGTTCTTATATCGTACTCGATAAGTCGGAGAGTCCGGATATTAACCTTATTTTATTAAGTGTTATAAACCTAAAAGCGTTAAATATTAATATTTTAATAAAAGTACTATAACGTTTCGTATATAAAACCTTAAAGATTTATATTAAAACCTTAAAAACGTTTACGAAAATTATACGAAACGAGACGGTAGTATATACGGTTATAACGTTTCCGGTAGTCCCGAGTAAACGCTTTTATA